AAAAAAGAAATAAAGAAACAAAATCTTAAAAAAAATGAAAGAATGTGATTTTTATTTTTTAATCAAGGGGTGATGCACTGGATAGTCTCCATTTGCCCCTTCAGATGGATCTTCCTCTCGTCCCACCATGCTCTGTGCCCCAGGAGATGGAAGATTTGCATCAGCAGGCTCCTTTGTCCTCTGACCTCTGGTTGGGTTTGCCAAAGAGGCTCTAACAAGAGACTGGAAGGCTGGAAGACAGTGAGGTCTCTTTTATTCTATTGTAGGAAACCAGAATATGCCACCCCAAAATACATCTCTGTGGCATCGGGATTTTTTTGAGTTGATTATTTTGAAAAACGACACAGGCGAAGCTCTGAAAACAGAGAGGTTACCCTTTTGTAAGGGAAATGTACATTAATAAGGAGATCTCCATTTCTAAGGATGTCTCCTTCTCAGTACCAGGAAGAGAAATGTGACTAAATCACTGGAGACTCATTAGGGTTGAAAGCACCAACTTAAATGTGCATGACAAACTACTTCTGTTTATTGTCCTTTTCCTGGCCGCCCCATAACTGGCCTCCCCACACGTTCTTCCTCTGGTTTAGCTGAAGAGGGTAATTTCTGAATTTAAGCCCAAATTTTAGCCACCTCTTTGAATTACTCATCCCTGAATTTCTCCCGTGTATGCATGAGACATACATGTTAAAAAAAAAAAAACACCACAACTTTATTTTTTTTCTTGTTGATCTGTCTTTCGTTATAAAGATCTCAGCTGAGAATTTAGAAGGGTAGAAGGAAAATTCTTCTGCCTCCTCTATCCTGTCATCTATCTATCCATCCCGTTGGCTCTGTTTCTCTGGAGAGCCCTAATACTGGTGACCTCCCTCACCACTGGGGCCCTTGCTACAGGAGTGCGGTCAAGCCAAGGCAGGGCAGGCTGCCTCCCGGCGGCTGGACAGATTGCCATATAGTCAGGAGACCTCGTGGTGACAGGCAGGAGTCTCGGTGCATAAAACCTTCCTGGTGAGTGCTCCCGGACAGAGTCTAGGCTTTCTCCGGGCACCTAGGAGGGCTTGATCACCACCCCCACCCCAGGGACTCTGCTCCCACCAGAGGGGAGTTACAAGGCTTAGATGTCACAGTGTGATATGTGCGCGCCGAAGTGAAAGGTTGGATGTTTATTTATGGAGTTCTAGAACTGACCAAACCCCCCCCCCCCCAGTCCCTTCATGCTTGCTTGGGTGTCTCCGAGAGGCTGAAATGGGTCCCGAGAGCAGGCACGGCACGTGCGCACCGCGTTGCTGCACCAAGGGCCCGACAAAGTCGAAAGGGAAGCAGACGAGGGCTGCGCCCCTCGCAGGAGCCCGCCGTCTCTGGAGGACGAGGCTCGGGCCCTCAGAAGGCCACAGCTGAAGAGCCCCTGGTTTCCATAGCTGAGATGGGGTTGAATGTCACCGGACACAGAATTACTGCAAGTCACAACGTGGGGCTGCCATTGGCGACGGGCGGAGCCTTGCCGGAACCCCTTTCCTGTGCATGGGGCGGGGCCCAAGGGAGCAGCTGGGCAGAGGGGATCGGAGGGGTGTCACAGAGCACCCCGCAAGCCAGCTGTGAAGGGGGCACACCCAGCTTGCAACCGAAGCTGAGGCAGAGGAAAGACTGTGGAAAGAATGAAAAGGGTGGCAGAAGAGAAAAAAGGGAATTTACAAAAAGAATGAAACGTCCTGCGCTTGACTCTGGGCACGGCGCACGCATTTCTCACTGGCCCCTCACCGCGGCACCGGGAGGTGCGCGCTGTTAGTGCTCCGGAGACAGGCAGGGCGTCCATGGGAAGCACGTGGCCAAGAGACCTGCCCACAGTCACCCCGCGAGGATTCGACTGCAGGGCCTGGGTGCCGGGGGGGAGCAAGGACGCGAGGTGGGGGGACAGAGGACATGTTGAAGGCCGGGAACCCAGGGTGACGAGCCCCTGCGTGCTGATTTCTGGGGTCCACGGCTGGGGACAGGAACAGGGGATGCAGGGGCAGCTCCTCTAGGGTTAGAGAGGGCAATTCTTTAGCATCTAGGGTGGGGGACTCCAAACAACCACCTCATGTTTTCTCTGGATTCTTCTGCCTGGATACATGTGCTCTGCAAGTTGCACTCTTTCTTACTGAGGTTTGTCTTCTGTTTATTTACCTGTTCCCTTGCTGTGAGCTGTGAGGAAGGGCTGAGGCCTGTGGTTACTCTTCCTCTGAGTGAGACGAGGAACAGAAGCAACGGAGGCAAGGAGGGAGGGAGCTTGTAAGGCCTGCTGTTGTCCCAGGAGAGTCCTCAAAGCCTCATGGGAAATTGGCCCCCACGCAGGGCTGCCCTTCCAGTAAGTGGAGCTTTTGCTATAAACAGCCGACCCAGAGGCCTTTCTGCAGGCCCCTTGCTGTGCAATTTCAGTGGGCTCACATGCTTCTCCTGAGGCCTGTGCCTTTGCCAAACGGACACAGGATCCTGTGGCCAGAGGGGTAACTGGAGGTGCGTGGGCCAGGCAGATTCCATCTCGGACAAGAGCAGCAGTTGGAAGAGCCTGAAGAAGATTTCAAAATCAGGCAAGGCAACGTCTGCACCAGCATCCCCCCCGTCCATGGGCCGTAACAGCCCCACCAAACACCCAGAGCCCCAGTCTGAACCCAAGTGGAAACAGAGTCTTATCTTTACCCACCGCCGGAAACAGCCGGCTTTCGGCCCCCTGTCTGGGTATTTTGCACTCTCTCAGGGAGCAAGGAGGCTGTGATGTTGGCGCTGCTGACCAACAGCCTCTCCCTGTCCCTCTCCTTTCCTGAGTGTGAAGCATCTGGACTTCCACCACGCTGTCTTCCACAAAGGCAGGCAGGAGACGAGGGTCAGCAAGGGCCTGGGAGGAAATGTGGTCAGCCCGGCCGGGAATCAGGTGGGCGAAAATGAAAATGGATTTTCCTCTATGACCCTCTTTAGTTTCTTCTCGTGGTATTCCTGAAACCAGGGTCAGTAGGTTGTCTAGTTCATCACCCAGGACCGACCCACTCCAGAAGACTGTAGGGACCAGTGGGGGAGGGACCGTGGGCTCTCTCATGGTGGCCCGCACTGGAGCTGAGTCATACTTTCCAACAACAATGAGGCAGGCCTCCTGTGGAGGTGGACCCTCCTGGGCAGGGTCCTTCTGCCTGCTCAAAGCTGGCTAAACACGGACTCCTGAACGTTCGCGTGTGTTGATATGCTTTCATGAGTTGCTGAGATACAATTCATACACCACGCAATTTACTCTTTACAGTGTACAAGCCATGACTTGTGGTATAGTTAACCGGGGTGCAATTGTCACCGCGAATTCTGAACGTTTTCATCACCCCCAGAAGAAATCCCACACCCCTCAGCCATGACCCCCTCTAATATTCCCCATCTCCCTGCTCTAGGCAACCTTGAATCTGCTTTCTGTCTCTCAGACTTGCCGATTCTGAACATTTCCTCTAAATGGATTCATACATGTGTCTTTTGGGACTGTCTTCTTTCACTTGGTACACTTCTAAGGTTCATCCATGTTGTAGCATGTATCATTACTACATTCCTCTTTATGGTGAGTGACATTCCATTGTGTGGATGTAGCACATTCATTTAGCCACTCATCGTGGACTTTGGGTTGTTTCCACTTTTAAGCTATTATGAAGAATCAGCTATGAACATTTACGTACAAGTTTTTGTGTGGACGTGTTTCTAGGTCTGCTGGGTATTAAACCTAGGAGTGGAATTGCTAGGTCATGTGGTAAGCTCTGTGTTTAACCTTTTGAGAAACTGCTGGAATGTTTTCCAGTGCACCATTTCACTGCACCATTTTGCATTTTTAGTGGGTTATATATTATCATATGTTATAAATGTGCTATAGCCAGCCTAGTGGGTGTGATTTTATATCTCACTGTGGTCTTGATTTGCATTTCCTTGATGGCTTGAAACTTGTTCTTGATAGAATAAACAATAAACCTATTTTAACTTTAACCTTTCATCTTTTAACCCAGACTCCAGATCTTTGCTCATTTTGTCAGTTAAAGAGGAGTAGAAACTTTTCTCTGGGCCATGAGAGCATCCACTCACTGACCACCTTGAAAAAATGTGGGTTCGTTCCAGCATTTTCTGAGATTCCTTATCACTAATCCATCGTCAATGACTATTCTTTGAACTTCTCACATCTCTCTTTATAAAAGTAAACAGAAAAAATGAGGGAATAGTGTTCTGAATTTAAAAACACAAAAATACAATTGACTTCATGGCTCAGTCAGTTAAGCATCTGATTCTTGATTTTGGCTCAGGTCATGATCTCAGGGTCATGAGATTGAGCCCAGTGTCTGGCTCCATACTGAATGTGGAGCCTGCTTAAGATTCTCTCCCTCTCCCTCTGCCCTTTCCCTGTCCCCTTGCATGCATGCTCTCTCTCTCTCTCAAAAAAAAAAAAAATTAAAAAAAAAAACCACAAAAACACGAAAGAGACATAACCAAATCTAATGTGTACATTGTATTTGTATCACGATTTGAACAAACCAACAATAAAAAGACATTTTGGAGGCATTCTAAAAAAAACTGAGTATGCACAAAGTATATTTTGACACCATAGAATTGTTGCTGAATATGTCAGGCATGATGATGGTGCTGTGGTTAGATAAGAAAGTGTTTTTTATCTTTATGTTTTTTAGCGGTATCTACTAAAGTAAGTAGGGATAAAAATGACACAATATCTAAAATTTGCTTTTAAATATATCAGAAAGGAAGAAAAAGAAGTAGATGAAGCATGGATGGCAAATTTGGATGATGGGATATGGAGGCTCACTCTACTTTTCTCTCGACTTTTATATGTGCTTGAAATTTTTCATAACAATAATAAAAATTATGGAGAAACTCCAAGATTGTAATGTAAACTGTGAAGTGAAAAACTCCATAAAATACTTGGGTCCTGGTCTGTAGAACGCTGCCCATCTATGTTCAGTTGAAATCTTCTTAGGTCTAATACATGAAAAGTAACAATTGATTCAAACATATCTTATGTATTGTATTTTAACTTAAAACCAACTGTGTTAGTCAGTGTTTTGATATCCCAAGCTAAGTCTTTTTTTTTTTTGAGTAGGGGTCCTTCTGTTTTTGTTTTTAAATTTTATTTATTTATTTGACAGAGAGAGAGGGAGAGCACAAGCAGGGGGCAAGGCAGAGGCAGAGGGAGAAGCAGACTCCCCACTGAGCAGGGAGCCTGATGAGGGGCTCGATCCTAGGACCTTGGCATCATGACCTGAGCTGAAGGCACACGCTTAACCCACTGAGCCACCCAGGCATCCCGAGTATGGGTCCTTTTGATTGGCATTTGTGTTGTTTCTTTTATATAGACTACAGTCAGAATGTGTCACCTACGATTTTTAATTATGGCCTCTTCAAAGTGGAACAAGAAGATATAGACAGTACACAGCAATCAGAGTATAGAATGTTTCTGTATTTTTCTTATTTGTTACTAAACACCAACATTTATTCCATACAGCAAAATCAACTGCAAATATTTTTAGGAATTTAGTTTTGTTTATTCCTTACTGAGCATTTACTTTTGTTTTTATATAACGAACAACTCTCTTCTGTGCACTCATACTTAATTGATTTATATAATATCCAAGTCAATTACATCACCTCCACGACAAGGACTACTTTAAACAGGCTGGGGGACAAGCACGGCTGACTCTTGGTAAGCACAGAGCTCAGCTGGTGGGAGCAAATTGCATGGTGCAGCCTTCTAGTGTGGGGCATCCACCAGCATATCTTACAGGAAGATGGAAAGCATGATTAATATAGTAGGCTAAAAGGAAGTCAGTTTAAAAAAAAAGCTTCTATTCTACTTGGAAAAACTGCAATTAACTGACTGAATTTTTCATTGAACATCATGTCCTTTGAGTGATGGAGAGCTGACCAACAAGCATGCTGAGTCTGGTGAAGAGTTAGCATGGTGTCGCAGACAGCACTTCGTTCCACATGCAGGAACATGGCCAGGACTGAAAGCAGCAAACAGGGCAAAGGGAGGTGGGAGATGAAGTAAGGAGGGTGAGTTTTCAATCCAGTGGTGTTGGCTACTGCGCTTTCCTCCCCAGAGGTTAAATTTGATCCACTGATTCCCACAGCAAACTTGTACTGAGAATGGGGGCTAGTGACCACATTTCAAGCTTTCTAGACTGAGTTGCAGCCACTTTAAATGTCAACTCATCTCCCTCAAGGTTGGGAGTGGCTGAGTATATGTTTCATGCTTGGCAGCCATGTCCTTATAGAACACAATGAGCTCTTTGTGGGGGCAGAGAGAGAATGATAATCAATCAAGGAACATCTGAGTTGGGAGGGGCCATAGTGGCCTCTACTGCAACTATCCCATTTTACAGATGAGGTGATTGAGGTCTAAGATAGATGCGGTGGCTTATCGCTGCTCTGACCACCAGGCTGACCACGTTCAGTGAACACAGATATGCTAAGTACCTATTAATTTTAAACTTCTGCCCCAAATTCTCTGAAGCTCAGAGGGACACTGTATCACTGGATGATAATAAGAGGAGCAGAGTGATCACTGGAAGTGCTGACAAGGTGACTATAGAATATAAAAAAGACCCATTGCTGAGTGAGAAAGGATCTTCAGTGACCATGTAGCCCACAGCTTTTATTTTGTGGTTGAGGACAGCAAAGTTCTGAGCAGGTAGCAACAGAATTATCTTAAACGTGGGCTAGAAGAAGTAAATATTTTTTAAAATCATGGAAATTCATCAATTGAAATATGTAAGAGCTACTAAGAGCACCCCTGTTGCTTGGGTTAATTTTATCTCATGCACCTCTATCTCCAGTGCCTGCCACAGCACATAGTAGGTTCTCAATAAATATCCTTGAATTGCTTATATGAAGCTTATCATTCAAGTCAACACAGCTTGAGGCACAAAGATTAAAAAAATCATCTAAGATCACAGCTGGTTGAAAGGGTAGGAAAGGTTCCTGGAGGAGAGAGCCTTAGGGTGGGCCTTGAAAACGGATTGGGGATGGGGTGGGTGGGAAGTAGAAAGAGTGTGTTCTCTGCAGAGGGAATGGTGCGTTATGGATGTAGAGGGCAGGGTGCCTAGAGTTTGGGGAACATCAGGACATCCAGTTGGCTACAGTGTAGTGCTGGGGCTGAGAAGTAGGAGTGGTGGGCTTGTCACTGAGGGCCCAGAACTCTCTGTCATTAATTCTTCATGAAGTCTGGAGAGGCTTAAGGTTTTGAGGTCGGGAAGGACATATAAGACTCATCCTTAGGAATGAGACCTTGCAAGAAGCTGATACTCAGTTCAGACACAGGAATTTTCTACACTTCATCCAAATGCTTTGGCTCTATGGAAAGGTCAGAAAAACATTGGTGACTGTCTTTCTTGGGAAATATTTCAGATCACTGAAGTTGTTAGGGAGATAAGCATCCTCATGATCCAGGCCCATTCTGGCTCAGAAAGTATAAGGACACCCAAAGATCAAATTTGTTGGAGGAACGTGTTTGCTAAACATTCTCAGTTTTTCAGAAAAGTT